TTTTTTTTTTTTTTTTTTTTTGAGACGGGGTCTTGCTGTGCAGCTCAGGCTCGCCATGGACTCACGGTGTAGCCCAAGCTTGCCTCGAGCTCGCAGTGATCCTCCTGTCTTAGCATCCCCAGTGCTGGGGTTACAGGTATGTGTTTAGGGTATATTTCTAAAAGAAGTACATAGACAAATATAAAGAGAGTAGTTCACTTTGTATAAGTCCACATATGTATGTATACACAGTTTTACATACACAACAGATGTAACTTTTTAAGGATACTTATTCATACGGCCATATTTCTGTACCCTCCCTCCCCACAATACTTGTAATTGTAAATACAATTTTATTTCATACCATTTCTGAATTACCATTTGGATAAAATTTTGCTACTCTAATGTCTTACAAGGTTGGGAAATTTTTAAGCATTTTATTAGCCTTATATATTTTTCATTTCAGTAAATCGTTCATTTCTTTTACCCGTTAAGTTCTTAGGGTCTTAATTCTTTCCTAAGTCTTATGCAGTCTTTCAAATGTAACTTGTATTCTTTATTTACCAAATAATCAGTGATTTTTCTGGTATCATATATTTTCATACTTATTTAAGAACAAAATGAAAGAAAACCTAGATCTGGTTTTAGGTCTCGAGTAGGAGAGTTTCACTTTGTTCATATGGTCAAGGTGGATTTCCCACTCCCTAAAACATTGTAGGCAGCAGATAATACAGAATCATATTAATTCATTCAACAAGGCTTAATAGCCTCCCCTCAGAAAGTATAAAGATTAACAGGTGCTCACTTAGAGCAACTCAGTATCTATTGGAAAGACAGATCAGACAAAAATCCTTGTAAGTGATAGAAATATAAAATGAATATTGGAGAATTGGGGGTTCACAGAGATTATGTAGCTCAAAAGTATTTTAAAAATTAAGGATAATTTAATGGTTTATCTTTTACAGAGGCCATGGATTGGCTATGGTGGAAACAGGACCAAGGGAAGATTAGTTTTAGTGCTTCTCTTAGTTGTCTGGTTTCAAGCAAAACAATAGCTAACAGCAAGTGAGGGTGTTTACTTTGAGGTAAAGTGCCAAAAACAGCATTTGAGCAATCCCAGGTAAGCCTGAATAATACTGAGGAAGCACTTTCCCTTGCTCTACCCCCACTCTGAAGCAGGGTAACTTGTGGAAAGATTTGTCTGGGTAGGCAGGAGGTCCATCTTGGATGAATTGGTGTCCAGTGAGTTTCAGGCCAAGTGTTAGGATTATACCACCGTCCTGGTATTAGGACATCCTAGAGTTATCTGCAAGGCGCTAATGGTCTTTCAGAGGGATCTTTCTAGAGCTTCCTTCACTGTAGGTTCAAATAGAACATTGTGGAAAGGCACTGATATCGTAACAGTGTGACAGCAGCGGCTGAGCTGCCTCTCATGGACTTCCTGTTTTGCCCTGGCAGGTTTTGATTCCCTATAAAAATAGGACTCCTAGAAATTATATCTGGGTCAAAGCAGTTCTTCATCTCTTGCTATCTTTGTCCTCATCTTTATTTTAAAGCATTTGTTTGCATAGAAATCATCCAAGTTGTAGTTCTCTTAATATGTGCTTATTTAAGTACCACTTGAAGTGTCTTGGCTCCAGAACATCTAGAACTAATTTTTCCACGTATGAGAATATTAAAGGTTGAACTACTCAGATTTCTGGTTCCAGGGCTGTGGTGGAGATAGAAAAAATTAGGATTGCCAGCACTTACTGACTAGAAAAGATTTCCAAAGTAACAATGTGGCTTTTGTTATTTGGTTTTTCTCCATGAAAATACTTTCTATTAACATTCAAGATGTGCACCTATAACCAAAGACGTACAGTCACAAGAAATTAGAGGGATTGGGTGAGGAGATAAAAGGGTGCTGTGGCCTTTAAACTAAAGGCAAGAAAAAACCTGTAAAGAACTAGACATGGGAGAGACAGGGAAAGGGTGCATTTGTTGTCAAGTCACCAAAGTTTGTCCATTTAATCTCCGAATATCTTGGTGAATACCTCTCCTCTTTATCTACTCCTCTGGGGCCTTACCTTCATTTTTTATGAACTTCAAAAAGCGAACTGAGTTCCACCTCATCCCTTCTCATTCTTTTGTTGGTGAGCTTCCTAAGTGGCAGGCACAGTGGATTTTCTCTGGAATGTTTCTGTGTCCTTCATTGCCTGTATGTGGCATAAAACAAAAACTGCACAGAAGCTAACAAAGAACCTTAATGACCTGGACCCTGCTCGCTCCTCTGGCCTGTGGCTTGCCGCTTCCAGGCCTGCTCTAGCCAGTCTTGGAACTTCATGTAGCTTCTGCTTGGGCCAGGCTGCTGCTGTAGCCTAGAATGTCCTCTCCTGCCTGGGACAACTAACTAAACCCATAGCTCAGATATCCCCAGGAAGATACTCATTCCCCCAATGTGAGTAAGATTTCACCTCAGTGAATGTCCACAGTTTTGTTTGTTATAGCGTTGGTCCCATTCCATTCCATTGACCCCTACCTGTTACCCCAATAGATTGAACTATGTAAGTGCAGGGACCTTACTTAGCTTTGATCTCCAAAGAACTGGCTCTTTAGACATTGAATACATAACATTTCTGATGAATGGATAAAAGTAGTATTGCTGCTGCCTTCAAATTCTAGGTTGTTAAAGGTCTGCACAAATTTAATGATTAGGGAAACAGTTCAAGACTGTTGCCCAATACAAATGAGCATTGTCCACTGTACTTTCATTGTCTTGTATAGGAATTCTGAGGAAATCAGAATGTAGTATGTATGTAGTATGTTTTCTTGGAAAAACATTTTGAAAGCCAGACTGATGAGTGGTGACTGGTAGGTTTAATAGGAA